GACGAGCAAATCCGTCGTGTTAGAGTCGTTTTCGCGCTGCTAACGAAGGAATACGGGTTCCCGTTCCCGGATCCCCGTCCCGAGCCGCCCCCGAGCCGCCCCCGAGCCGCCTTCCTTTTCATTCTTTATCCTTGGAAGAAATAAAGGCAGAGTCGTAACAGCGGAATGATTAATATCCGGCTGACAGTTTGTGAAACGGGCAGCCAATAAACGGGATAAAAGTACTGGTGAAAAATAGCGCGCTCATTAGGGGTACAGTGACATCTGCGACTGGCTGCGCCCGAAACTCCTTCGAGAGCCAGAGGAGAGACGGGAGAGAAAAGCTGCCCGGGCCGAAGGGGACAAAGAAGACAGGTTTATTAAAGTAATGCCGGATCATTTTAATATTCGAATGGGAACGCGCCGCATTCCCAGCCGCGCCAAACACCGCCGGCCCAGCGTTTCTAATCTTCCTAATCTACGTTAGAACTGTGAACTTCGTCGGATCGATGAACCCCGGCCGCGCTATTACTTAATTGTTGACCAGCTTCTTCTTCGGTGCTCCTCCGTTCCCTCTATACTTCGGCTGATTAAAATTCTTCTCGGTTCGCTGGTTAAAGGACGAGCGGTCCTTTTACGCGAGAAATTCGGATCGTCTCGATCTTTATTTCCCGAAGCTGTATCCAGGACGGGGTAATTAAACGACGCGTGGTGCATGCCCGCGTCGATTAGGCTTGAACCGTCCGAGTTTAACAGTATTAAAGCTAATAATACAGTATTAAACTTACATATTACAATATTACAGTAATAAAATTAACAGTATTAAAGCTATTCATTTGCTGTATTAAAGCAGCAACGATTATTTTTACTCCAACACACACAGTTTTATATTACTAATAATACAGTATTAAACTTACATATTACAATATTATAGTATTAAAATTAACAGTGTTAAAGCTATTAATTTGCTGCATTAAAGCAGCAACGATTATTTTTACTCCAACACACACACACACACAGTTTTATATTACTAATAATGCAGTATTAAACTTACATATTACAATATTACAGTAATAAAATTAACATTATTAAAGCTATTAATTTGCTGTATTAAAGCAGCAACGATTATTTTTACTCCAACACAGGGGTTGCTTTTGGTTTGAAAATTGTCTAAACAGCTTAACGAATAGCACATGCGTAGCACGGATTGCGTAGCTCGGATTGCCATAATTATAGCTTGTTATGTTTCTCCTTTTTTCGAAATAGCCCGTTCACGGACATGGAAACACTATCTAGCGGTGGCGTTCGAACTAAAACACCCCTATAAAGCGACTCCGGAGACACAATGTATGCGCTTTTACCATTGAAAATTGTAGAAGAGACCTCTAGCAACGCAACGAGAACAATTTTATGAGCATGCGAATTGTAATTAATTAGTGATAAGCAATTTTCAGTTTTATGTTCAATCGTTCGATATCGCAGCAAATGATTCGTGCCGCTTTTCTCGTAAGAAGCAGTGGAACAATCGACACGAATTTTCTGCTGCTTTCAAACAGCCTAACAGCGCCAATCTCATGCAGCGGTAAAACGCTCAAACTGTTCGCCAAGCAACAGTTCTCTGCACAATTCGCCGCGCGGTAACACTGCGTGCGCGCGACATCTGTCGGCGAGTGTCCCAAGTCTGCGGTGGAAACTCAAATCAATACTCGCCGACAGATGTCGCGCGCACGCAGTGTTACCACGCGGCGAATTGTGCAGAGAACTGTTGCTTGGCGAACAGTTTGAGCGTTTTGCCGCTGCATGAAATTGGCGCTGTTAGGCTGTTTGGAAGGAGCAGAAAATTCGTGCCGAATGTTCCACTGATTCTTACGAGAGAAGCGGTACGAATCATTTGCTCCGATATTCCATATTAAAACATGAAATGGAAAATTGTTTATAACTAATGGATTACAATTCACAAATGCAACAAATGGTTATGGATACATTGTTGGGGATCTCTTCTAATATATATAATATCGAAATTACATTGAAAAATCATTAAACCCCGATCGCTTTTATTACAGGATCGTAAAGATATTTCCCACTGAGATGTATACGGCACAAGAAGAATCAGCATTACGATATATTCCATCCTTGTGCCCCGCAGAACCAGGAAAGAAGTAGAAGGCCACGATCTCGAAGTACCACGACAATGGAAGATTTCAATAATTATATCGGCCCTTTTCAGGGCCACACAATTTTAACGCAGAATCAAACGATTCAATACCCTCCCTTCCACCCATAGGATACCTCAACGGTTTTGGATTATCAGCGATTAATTACTTGGTCAGAGCTTGGTGACAGTACAATGAAAGTGAACTTCGTGTGTTAGCCATATCGTGACCACTATTTCGAACAGCAAATGCAACTAATTCTAATCTAATTAATGTATACATAATACAATCTAAATAATAAATATATAATTATAATTCAACTATTTTAGTCTTTATTTATCACCTTCCTCTCTCAACCAGCCACTTCCTTTCACTCTTCTTTCCTCATCGTTCACTCTTCTTTTCACAGTTTTACCACAATCAACGCAATCTCTCCCACTCTCACTCACTCTTCCCACTCTCTCACTCTCTCACTCTCTCATTCTCTCTCTCTCCTTTCTCTCTCTCTCTCTCTCTCTCTCTCTCTCTCTCACTCTTCCGTCCTCGCACATCATGTGCTCCTGATACAAAATCCGAAATTTTTCCAAAATTTTCCGAAAAATTGCCTCGAAAGTAGTACCAATCAAAATCCAGCCAGACATTGAGTTTAAAATACCTCCTCGCACATCATGTGCTCCTGGTACAAAATCTCGAAATTTTTCCGAAAGTTTTCGAAAATTTCCGGAAAAAGTAGTACGAGTCAACGTCAGGCCAGACATTCGAAAGAATACCTCCTCGCACATCATGTGCTCCTGGTACAAAATCTCGAAATTTTTCCGAAAGTTTTCGAAAATTTCCGGAAAAAGTAGTACGAGTCAACGTCAGGCCAGACATTCGAAAGAATACCTCCTCGCACGTCATGTGCTCCTGATACAAAATTTCGAAATTTTTCCGAAAATTTTCGAAAATTTCCGGAAAAAGTAGCACATCGTGTGCTCCTGGTACAAAATCTCGAAATTTTTCCGAAAGTTTTCGAAAATATCCGGAAAAAGTAGTACGAGTCAAAGTCGGGCCAGACATCAAATTTAGAATACCTCCTCGCATATCATGTGCTTCTACAAAAATCGAAATTTCGGCAAAATTTTCGGAAAATTTGCTCGCAAGTAATACAACTCAATCACAAGTCAGACATCGAGTTTAGAATACCTCCTCGTGTATCAGCGAGAGAGTGAGGAAGTGTGACAGTGAGAGAATGGATGAAAGGATGGGAGAGTGAGTGAGAGAGTGAGAGTGTGAGAGGGTGAGACAGTGAGTGAATGGGAGAGTGAGAGAGAGAGAGTGAGAGAGTGTGCGGATGGGAGAGTGAGTGAGTGAGTGAGAGAGTGAGAGAGTGAGAAAGTGAGAGAGTTGGAGAGTGAATGAATGAGAGAGTGAGAGAATGAGTGAGAGAGTGTGAGAGTGGGAGAGTGAGTGAGTGAATGAGAGAGTGGGAGAATGAGAGAGTGAGAAAGTGAGAGTGTGAGTGAATGGGAGTGTGGGAGAGTGAGAGAGTGAGAGAGTGAGAGAGTGAGAAAGTGAGAGTGTTGGAGAGTGAATGAATGAGAGAGTGAGAGAATGAGTGAGAGAGTGTGAGAGTTTGAGAGTGGGAGAGTGAGAGAGTGGGAGAGTGAGAGAATGAGAGAATAAGAGAGTGAGAGAGTGAGAGGGTGAGAGGGTGAGAGAGTGAGTGAGTAAGCTTGTGAAAGTGTGATAGAGTAAGAATGTGAGAGGGAGGGAGTTTAGAATACCTCTTCTCAGATCATGTGCTCCTGATACAAAAGTCGAAATTTCGGCAGAAGTTGTCGACGATGTAAGGATATAGGAAAATGAATAAATGAAAAAACATTTGGATTGAGTTTTATAATACTTTTATTTTCACACATTACACTCATCTCATTTTATTTATAATAATGAAAGGGTGTCGGAATGAGTCCGGTATTCGTTGTGGCTCCTTTTCTTAAAACGCCGACTTATTTAGGTAAGAATACGATGCTCGCAATGATTGTGACTTCTTTGTGTCTTCTTACAATAGTAAAAAAACAATTTTTTCTGTTGGCTGGAGAGGGTGACAAAGGACACCGATGGTCAGTATTTATCGCTACCTACGATCATAGGGTGGACGGCGGATTAATGCAAAAATAGAAAGGATACAAAAAAGCGAAATAAATAAATAAATGTAAATTTCCCTGAACGGTTCAGTGTCCTTGGTTTAGTTCTTTATATGCTCTTATTTTGCCATAATTAATGTTTTTAGACGACCCTACATTGTGCATAAGTAGCGCCTCTAGTGGAAGAACAATAAAGCTGCTTTTGATGTCTGTACAGCGCCAATTGGTGCCGTGGCAAAACGCTGAAACTGTTCGCCGAATTACCGACCGTCGAATTTGGCTAGCTCCGTCGATGTCTGTACAGCGCCAATTTGTGTCGTGGCAAAACGCTGAAACTGTTCGCCGAATTATCGACCGTCAATTTTGGCGAATAGTTTGAGCGTTTTACCACTGCACCAATTGACGCTGTACGGACCTCGAAAGCAGCTTCATTGTTCTTCCACTAGAGGCGCCACATATTATGCTCTTTGCAGAGAGAAAAATTATTATGCGTAACGGATATTTGGTTCAAGCGTCTGTCGCTATGTGGTGATAGTGCGCCACAGTCCACGAGTATGCTATTTTTAAGGAAACCATAATTAGCCATAATTACGGCATTGTGTATTATGCCATTAAGCATACAAATATTAATTTTAAGCAACCCGTTGTCGAGATATTTACGATACGATACGATTTTCTGATTTCATTTTAAAACATGATTTGAATTCACTCCGTATAGTGGCGCAACCAGCAGCTCTGCGCAGTTTTACTTATTAGAAAAGCATATCTGGTCGCCGATTATTTACATCTCAAAAGATCAATATGGCGACTTCCATGAAATAGTAAATAGAAGTGAAGGATCTTCTTATAGAAATTAAATTATACCATAAACTTCATGGAAAGGTGCAATAATTCTATTGTCTAGCATGTCCAACACGATGTAATGCCAATTGTTGATTTCATTGCGTGAAATCCTCTCACGACTTCGGTACGTTCTCGCCCAATGTTGTGTACAAGAGTAAACGTTAACATTTGACATTCTTATTAAGGCATTATCGTATGATAAAATAAAATTATCAACCATGTATGCTTTAACTCGTGTTCTTTTTTTCTTTCAGTTCTTGCTAAAGTGCTTAACAAACTGACGTATAATTTTACCAAATAAAGCCGTGTTAATGTTACGGGAAAATGTTGCGACAGCGTGCATTATCAAGGGATAAAGTACTGTTTCGTATTTTAAAGAATAAGAGCCCGAACGGTAGCAGCATATGCATGAAACTGGTATCTATCAAACAATAGAATATGTATACTTTTCTTTTTTCTCATTCAATATATCTTTACCACATACTATAGTTCTTATATGTACACGTTCGTGTGTGTCACATGTGTGTACACGTACTCGCATACTGTATTAATCAATTTCTTCTTTTTGAGATAACCCTTGTATCAAATTAGTAGGATGGTTTGTTTCAATGTTTGAATAACAAAATGAGGAAAATTATTGACAGCAAGTTCTTATTTTAGAATAGCAATGTGAAAAATATTTTTGTATTATCGGACGATGAACTCTGCGAACTATGGCAGCATATGAAGACCATGCTGTTAGAAGCTCAAAAAATATTTATACAGACATCGAAAGATCAGACTAAATATGTAAAAGTAAGGCTATTCGTTGGAGCTAAAAAATCAGTAATCAAAAATGTTTGGTTATCTGCAACCACGAATGTACTCTTTATATTGTAGGAGCACGGTGTGGTAGTCAAAATGATGCGCACAATAACTGCTATGGCCCTTGAAACGATTCTACAACGATTGTTTATTCCTAATGTACTTTTACAAAATGTGATGTTATTACATTCCAATATATTTCCCAATATAAATAACAAACAGGTGAAAGATGAGATATCCAATCTGTTAGAGAACTGGTGGAAATTAGATTTGACTTGGAAGGAGAAGGTGATAAAAAATGTAGTTAAATATCTCATTCAAGGCTGCAAGTCATCGTTGGTACTTATTTATTAAATCAATAAATAAATATGTATATATTATTGATTTATATCGAACATGTGAAGTTAATGCTGATCATCTTTTTAGCAACATGTAAAACGTCTGTATGATATAAGGCCGGCTATTACATTACTAAACAGTACCGAAGATATTCAAAAGTTGCTTAGACTTGTCAGAGAAAATACTGTGATGTCGCTTGAAGAAGGTAGATGGTTGATATTATATTTGTTTACTCTTGGAGAACAGTATATATTGGTAAAAACTACGATTCTATATGTTTTCTTCAAATTATTAAAGAAAGAAAAATTAACAAACATAATTCTTGCAGGGAATACATAATAATATGAAGGTTGTTCTACTAAATGTGAAAGATAGTTACATCGCGAGTTACGCGAATTTATACGTGTCCGCGTGGTCGACTGCAACTGCAAAATTTAGAAAGTTTATCGTAGATAATTGCATACAAAATATTATTTTTCATTGCTTTCGTGCATATAGAGACTCCGAGGGACAAGGGAAACTTGGTAAAAATCTTTTCTTATTTATAGCCGCCATCCATGAAAACAAAGATCCAGCGGTAAGAGTGATGATTCAGAACCAATGTAAACGCTTGCTTTGGGTACATCTAAAGGTAAAACAAAATATGCATGCATACAGTGATTGATAATTAGTAAATGAAAATATTCAACAGGCTCCTGGGTCTTACATTAGATGTAACGCGGTGGAAATTCTATTTTTGACGATCGCTCCGCACTACGCGTGCGTCGCGAAAGATAGGAATAGATTTCATCTGCAAAAATTTTATAAAACGGTCGATGATCTTTTACATGATCCGGACACCGAAGTGTGCAATATAACTATGATTGTAAGCGGATTTTTACCGATGGAATACTAGCATTTATAATATTATTTAATGTAATTGCTAATATTTTACAATCTTCAAAAATGTTAGGGACTTTTAAGATTATTGGAAAAACATTGGAACAGTGTACCAACGAATATAGTTCGCAATTGGTTAAATATCTTCTTGGATTATACAACAAGCACTAGTAGCGCGCAAATAAGAGCAAATGTTTTTATTGGCTTGAAAAAGATACTAATTAAGGATCGATCTCATAGAATACTTAAGGATTTTTTACCGAATTTCGCGAAAAGTATTTATGACGAGGATAATAGCGTAGTGGAAGCACTGATAAAGCTTCTTTGGCACGCCCACAATCAACTTGATATACCATTTTGGACCATTGTACCGTTAACGTACATACTCGACAAATTAGAGGTGCATATTGTCGATTCACGCGCAACTATCCACGAGTGACGATATACATTGATTCGCGTAAATATTTTCAGAAAACAATGGATACATCTTTGCTACAAGAATTGATAAAACTTCTTTGGCTACGTATATGTTTAAATGGTACCGATAACGATAAAATAACAAAAGAGATAATATATATAGGAATGAACAATATTAAGGCAATTAGGAGGTTTTGTCTTCATTCAAAGTCCGTTATAAACTCGAACAGATTCGCGCAGTTAATTGAGCGCATGTTGTCCAAGATAAAAGAGAAGATGGGATGCCTGCCTGTAACAAAAACAACCAAAACAAGATGCAGTAAAAAAGTCAAATTGAATAATAAGGAGAATACAGGAAGCAATGGTAATACGACGCGTATACTGTGTCAGATACCGACTCAATTGTTATTAATTAATATCTGCAATTATAGCATTAACAGATGATCTAAACATTGAGGAAGTCGAAGAAGATGTGGACAGCTATAAAGATATTCAAATCTGCATAGACGTGATTGCTATGCTACTGGTAGCGAACGTGGGCAATCAAAGCGTCGATAATTACACCGACGAGGAGAAAAAAGTTAAACAGTCGATCGCGAATGTGTTGCCAGAATTATTGACGTATTTTAAGGTAAATTTCCATGAAGTTGATTTCTGAATTCGCTGTATATCTTTGCGTGAACAATATCTTTCAGGACACTCCGGTGAATGAGTCGATTATATTTTTATTCTCGGTAATGCCGAACAAATATTTCCTCGATAAAGTCGAAGTCATGGAAATTTTAATGCAACAGTTATGCTCTTCCGATGCTTCCGACGACGCTCTCCTCTCGCTAATTCACGTTTTTATGAAGTGGAACAAAGGGCAAAAGATTCTTCTCACGTTAACGAAACTTACTTCGGATTCGTTGCACATAAACACGCCGAATAACCAGGTATCATTGATATATGAAAACCCCTGATTCTGCCATGCTTGAGATGGCAAAATTAAGTGTCTTATTTTATAAAAGAAAAATAATAAGGTATTGATATTGATACAGCGATCGCTCCAGGACCTTTGCAATTCCTCGAACATGTTTACGATCAACGTGAAAGGTTTAGAACTGAGCCTGCGCATTTTAAAGCACTTATTGCACGTCGAGTACCAGTCGGTCTTGATGAACAAGTATCATCAAGATGTACTTAAGTTTTGGGAATCGTTGCACGTCTGGAGAATGTTCATCGAGAGGAACATAAATGATGAATGTAATATGTGTAAACTAATATCCAAAGACTTGGTTGTAAGATTCTATAAGGAATACATATCGCTAGTACCTTTGTTGCATAAAAAGGATGCGTTCGACGCGTCGGAACGGTTTTTGGACATTATTTCCTGGGTTAAGAAGTACGTTCAAGAAGCCTAATCGAGCGTTTTATGTATTTAGCGGATGTTCGTGCAAAATTAATTTAGATTCCGGTTTAAATTAAATTTGCGCGAACGTCTATAGCGTGCTGATAGTCGAATTATTCTAATCTGTGCTGAATTTTGAACGCAGGTCAATAGTACCGTGCATACCGCAAGTGGACGAAGACATCGAAAACCGAAAGATGTCTATAGATTTAATAAAGTGTACTCTTGACACCTTGAACCTGCTGATACAGGAATCCAAAAGTAGCCCAAAGTTATGTTGTGATATAGTACTTTTATACCGTTGTTGTCTATTCCCTGTGGGAGGTGTTGTTTTCTTGAACAACGCATTCGATGCAATACTAAAGTTATTAGATTTTGGCAAGATGGCTTACGAGAACGACGAGCCGAATTTACTGGACGTCGTTGTTCCGAATATGTTGTGCATCGCGATGGCTACTCTGAACAAACACAACGAAGATATGTTAGTGAAGCATGCAGGCGTGAGTATACGACGAACGTGTAATAATATTATATATTTCACGTGTAATAATACTGTTTCAGAATTTGAAAATTTTGCCTGAACTGACAAAGAAGTATTTTTCTATTGTTAAGAGTACTTTTAATGACCAGAGAATGTATCTCTCTCATATCAGCATTTTGCTTAATGCCGCGGTCAGTAACGTGAACAAAGAAATGACTTGCGTGCTCGGGAACGAGTTCGTTACGGAGGAAGACATCTTAATCACGCGTTTCCCTTACCTGGCGAGAAAAATATTGAAAATTATCTTGCACACGAAAAAATATCAAACGATGAGTGTTGAAGCGCTAACAAAAAATATAACAAGTTATACGAAAGTGTGTATATCATTACTTATTGAATGCGCACCTATGGTAATTTATTAAAATAACTTTATGTATCGTGCGTGATGTGTTTCAGATCAACACGCTCTCGGCGCTGGTAATAATGCACAAAATGATGAAATTACCGGACAAGACGCTCACCAATAAACTGAAAAAAGTAACCTTGACATTTAAAACGCGCAACAAAAGACTTTCTTATAATACCGATCCCGAAAAGTATGCTGTTATATTTGCATTTGATGTTGCTCGTACTTTTATAGAAAATAAACAATTTCACCGTTTCAGATCCATAAAAAATGCAATAACCGTAGCCATCGATGCAATATTGCAGAAGTAACTCGCTAACGGTATACCGAATGCCGGACTGTAAACGCATCTGGATATTTTCTTCGTTTAACAAGAGGCGTGCTTTGAGTACAAAAGAGCTTTTGTCTAATCGAAATTTGACAAATATTTATTCCGCGAGTTGGAGAAGAATGTGTTTATCAGCACACCCATAGGTAACACAAACGCGTAATCACAATCATTAACCTCCTACAGAGAGTGGAGGATACGAAGCGCGACGAACTTGACCTTCGTGTGAAGTAATTAACACTAAACCTGCCGAGCAATAAAATGCAAAGATATATTTTATTTAGTTTTTGTACAGAGTTTATAATGCTGTGGTTGCTTCGATAGTGTAATTTATTCAATAATTTACTAGAGAACTGTCTTCGTTATTTTTATAATTGCAAAACGAGAAACCGGTTATTTGACCGTGATAGGTTTAGCGTTAATTAATGACTGTGATTACGTTTTCTATGGGGTAACCCGATGGTTACGCATTTTTATACGTGTCTAAAATAATATTTTTCTACTAAACATAAAAAAGTACAAAGAGTCGTAGATTTAACAGCCGCGACCAAAGACTATCGCGTACATAGTCGGTCAAAAATAAAAACTCTAAGGATTATTTCTAAATTTATATAAATATATATTTTCTCTATATCATTGTATAATTCTTTACAGAAGTTACCGATTCTCCTTTATGTATCGTTATTTCATATAAAAGATTTAAACAAATTACGAAGTTATAGTTACCCGCAGTATCTGTTACACGTTTGTACAAATCAATCTGATTCTCCATATCCTTGCGCATCGATTAACCGGACGATGTGATATTCCTCATTTGCCTAACGGCTGCGACCACTCTGGCATTGCAACCGGAAGTGCCATTCTGCCAATCTTCTGGCGACAGTCTCAGCAATTGAGACATGTGTTGCAAATTCTCTGACAAAGACAGACCGAGTTCCTCCAATACATTACCAAGGTAATCTATAATGCATTTTTAGCGTGAACATTTGAGTAAATGCAAGCCGTGTTGCAACCGGCATTATGTATTCGTCTACACACCTATGTCGGTGGCCAGTTGCTTGCACGCGGCAGAGCTCAATTGGCAAAGTCCCAGGGTTTGATCCAGAAACATTTGACACGTTCTTTTAGCAATAATATCCAACAATATGCCAGTGAAACCAGTTTCAGCCGAGCCTTGCGCATAGTGTGGATCCGCAGCCTTCAACGCTTGCGTTAAGCTCTGGTTTTCTCCGAGCAGAAACGGTTCCAAGTGCTGCGGCAATGTCATCAAATATTGTCCAACTTGCGTTATATATTCCTGAGGTGAAAAACTATAATCGGGCAAATCCGCGCTCAACTGTGTCAATTTGTTTGCGTCGGTCGACCAAGCGGGTGCCTTCTGCACTAACAACAATTGGGTGAATATGGGGGCGAATATCACCTCGTACGTCGCTCGATGCAGATCCGAGCAGAGTTTGTGTATAGACCTTACGATGGAATCGAGAATAGTTGTCTCTTCTGAAAGGAAATAACTGTAACCGTGTCAAAAACAGTATTTTGTTTACAGACAATCGATTGGCTACTACCTCTCTGGAAAGATGCGACCAGTTTTTCTAATTCGGTCTGGCTCGACACGTTCAGAAGCAACTTTTTATATTGCGAAAACACGCTGACTGCTGTACTCTGCAGTTTGTTATTGGCTTCGGTTATGTCGATTACCAAAGACTTTTCGAATTGTTGGACGTGCCCCAAGAGATCACCTGAATTAACAAAATCGTGCGTAGCAACATTTTTCTAAGTTTCCCAAATTAAAAAAGGCAGGCTGTCGATGTTACCTATGCTTTGCATCAAAGTGAGACACATCTGGAATAAATTCCAGTCCTCGTGTTTCACTTTCTTCCGTTCTAATTGCCATACAACTGCTTGATATTTTTCAAGATATTTGTTAAAGTAGCTCTATAACAAATACAGAAAATTGTGATTGCCGAAGACGCGCGATTTTACTTTGATATGTTTCTTCGAGGAACGTACGGTTAGGGATTTCAATAGTCCGGGATAACCGCAACCGTCTGTAAATAATTTGCATCTTTTGTTCGCCTCGTTCGCGTATTCCATTATTCTCGAAATGCTCAACGAAAGTGCGTTGATTGTTTCGCTTAAATCGTCTTGCGTGAATTCCATTGATCTCAATTGATGGTCGAGTTGTGCAGTTTCGTAGACATTGTACCTCACGACGTACGGAATGTAAGGTGCATAGATCGCTTGGGCCAAGGACAGCAATTTTTGATTCGGCAGCTTCACCTGCGACGATGTGTCAATCGCACCATGCAGATTCACTGCGAAATGCCTTGTAATCTGTTTCAGTTCAAGCAACAGAGACAGTTGCATCGCGTGCGAATGTTGCTTCAAAACTGCCTCTATGCACTCTGGAATGCCAGGATCTAAACTTTTCAATAGATCGGCGTATACCTCGATTAGGATGTTGATCGAGGTATTCGGAAATACTTGATGACACCATTTCACCTTTGTCGAGATGATTTTTCAATTAGAATTAAATATATCATGAATTTAATCGTTAATTGCATTAGGTATTGCATTAAAATGTACCTGATCGTGCCAACTTGACAATAGCTTATCATAATAAGCGTGCAACCAGTACGTAACATTCTCATCCTGAGCTAGCTCGATAGTTCTGCGCCACTCCTGACCCAAGGACACTTTTAGGCAGTTGTGATAATATTTCAGAAGTTGTGGCAAACGTTCCATTTTATTAAAAATGTCCACGTAAACTTTGGCTTGCTCTAAATATTTTATTGTGTCAGAATGAAATGTGTAGAAATACTTTTTCTTTTATGGAGAAATATGAATTACCTAAATTAGCAGCAGTGAATGCTTGAACTAATCTGGGACTAGCCATTGCTTCTAATCGATTTTTCAGACCTTCTAACTGCAACTTTTTATCCTCATAGTCAACAACATTCACAAGCATTGCCAGAGATTTTTGCATGCTAAATAATTTATTTGCAATAGCCTCCACATCCCCCGATTCAAATACCTAAAATAACGGGAATGTGAAGCCAAGGAATTACATTATAAAAGCTGGCTTCTTTTATTATATTATATACCTCCTCAACATCATTTGCTAAAACACTCCAATTGTCAGCCTCGTGCAAACCCTGCTTAGCATTTTGCAAATCTGTTTTTATCTTGTCGATTCTCTCTAAAGTTGCCATCGAGGATGCAGTATCTTTCTCAGCCTAGTCAAAGAATTCGATGCGTATAAAGCATATATGGTCAACCCATTGGATAATTAAAAAATATTCGAGCAATAGACCTTTTCAATTTCTTGCTTAACAGCAACCATCTTTTCCCTCAAAGCCAAAGCTTCCAGTTGCAAGAGTTGAGTGTCCCTTAGAACCCTTGGTAAACTTGAAAGAACGCTCTGACTGGTTTCCTCCAGGGCACCATTAACTTGTTGCACATATAATTGCAACTTCATTACCAAGGATGAAACAAATGCCTATTCCCAAGATTATTTTGTAATAAGCATTTTAGCAGAAAGTAATTCTCACGTATAAAACAGCAATAATTTATATTGTTTTAACATTATAAATATAAATTGCAACTACGAATTACGTCGTTCGAGCGTGTTAAATAAAACAATTAAGGAAACACAAAAATCGTATCCCCGTTTCTGGAAACGCTGCAGGCATTGATGTCACGTTGAAAAAAAAACGCGATTATTTTCCAAAGAAAGTGCACGGTGTCATTGACCGTGGTGCAATGGAAGCAGCCAGTTTTGCAACCGACTGCATCTCGGTGCAGTAGAAATTTAAAAATCGTGCCGAGAAGCGAAAGAAGACCGGACCAATTAAGATTACTGTAATGATAAGCAACTTACGTCTTTGTTCTCTTGTGCTTCGGCGGTTTTGAACGTTTTATTGATCCAATCTTTAACGTCGAAGGTATCCTCGGAAAACGCGGACACGTCCTGAAAGTATCATTTTGAGGTTAGAAACGATTCGGTCATTCTTCCTCGAGAAATCTCTTAAAGCTACAAGAAAAATCGCGCGAAATCGTTCGCGAGATCGCGAGATCTACTAATACGATGCTTCCTCGCGTGCGATTATCTCGTTCGGAGTAGATCCGGTTAAAAAAAAAATAAAGCTGAGATCGACGATGACGTTACACGGTGCTTACCATATCGAAATTCTGTGTGTCAGACTAATCGGACGGTTCAGGAAAAATGCAAGTCGAATCCGCGGAGGATTCACGGTGATTTACGGCGGTCGGGTAACGATCGGTTCTCGGAAATCCCGTCTGGCCGTTCTTTTTTTGCTACTTTTTCTTTAGCGGCGCATAGCGCAGAAGTGCTTCGCCGTTTGACCACTTTGCTGCACAATTCCGGAGTTGCCCCGCGACTCGAGCTTCGCACCCGGAAGGACGCACGCTCTTATCGTTCACCGGACTCGGAAGGCTCGGGAAACCGTTCGGAAAATCCTCGTCCTCGTCGCATCGTTAAGTATTTTATCTCTCTCTCTCGTACGTTCCTCACGGCAAGTGTACACGGCTCGCAATGGCCGGATTGATCGTGTGAACCCCGTGCACAATCTCTGCTCCCCGATAACGATCCGCGGCACTGCCAAGGGAAGATCCCCGATCCGGTATCTCTCAGAAAATTATGAAATTTTCGGGACGCTTAGATCACGAGTTACCGGTACGTATCACGCAACAAATTCGTCCGCTGCCCAATTTGAATTGCTGTAACACACCTCGCCCGCCGATTGCGTAACAGCTGTTTATACTCGATTAAAAGCAAACGATCGGGGATCATTTTTGAAACAGGCATCATTATCGGAAGTAGCTCGGAGTCTTCTGGGATTATTATTTAAAAGAAAAACAGTGTGTGAACTTCCTAGCTGTTTGAACAATGATATTTTTATAGTGAAAGGGAGTGGCTTCGGTTTATAAATTTGCTTGCATCGGGTGTAGTTCGCGGGTCGGGCGTCTAGGGGTTGATTTCGTTCGCCCGCTCGGAGCTACTTCGGACGGTAAAGAAAAAAAGAAAAAAAAAAGAGCGTGACACGTACCTATGCGTGCTTTCGACATCCAGAGTTTCTATAATTTTCTGACTTTCCTGGATCGCAGGTGTCTTCTCTCGCAACCGTTCATCATCATCCCCCGGGGATCATGGGAAGATCGCGTGGTACTTTGGTGGTGCGCGTCGCGTTCGACGTTTCGTGAACCGGCGCCGGGTGGTGATTAATGGAAAGTAAGAAACTCTGGTTCGCGCTCTCGCGGCGGCAATCGTGATAAAGAGGACTTCTGTATCTCGGATTCCAGATGAGTCTCGCGCGGCGGTGGCCAGGGCGCCGTGAACGAGAGGACCCGTGCCTGCGCCTGTTCAACCCCTTTGTCACGGTCATCGGCTGTTCTTTCTCGTGACACGATCCACGGCTCTGGATTCCAGCGAACTGCCTATCAGGAGGTAGGCGGCAAATCGAAGGGGAAAAGGGAGAGAAAATGGAGAACAGCATGTTATCGGTCGCTTCCGGGCCCTTCGTTGCCTCGCCACGCCCCCGAAACTGCGTTTGCGCGTCTGAATCCGCGTGCAACAGTTGGAACTCGGGAATTTCGTCTCTCCTCGGAATAATCAGACTGGCTCGGCGACGGAAATAAGGAGAAAGAGGGAGAGAGATAGAGATTAGAGACAGAGGGAGAGAGTCGCAGCCGCGGATCTACGGAACAACCGCGCGGCAACTGTACTTTGCCCTTTTCCTTTGCGAACGTTGAACGCGCCGAGACAAGGCTACCTATCTTCCTGGGTTTTGCGTTTGCGTTTGCGTTTGCGTTACGCTCTCGCACGACACCGGTGCACAGGCACAACACGCACACGCGCGCACTATACACTCTTCCCTCTTCGTCTTTTATTTTTCTCCCGTTTCTGTGCGTGTCGGGCCGCCGCTGCTGGCACGGCCACTCGCCTCGTTTATGCTCGCGATTCTAAGCGGAACCTCGCGCAATGGATCCGACGAATCGATCCCTCGAAAGTGCTATCTTCGTACCCCCGGAGAATTTCGCACGAGGAGAATTTACGAAGGCGTGGTCCGCGAAACGGATGGCCGCTTCGCAGTGACGGTTCTAACTACGAAATCGACGTCGACGAATTTTCTCACGGCAGTCGACGGTGCCCCGAGAAATTTCAACGGAATCGGTATCTTATAGTCCTTCGAATGGCCCCGTGCGTGGCCTAATTTTCAACCCCGTCGCGCGAGGCTACGCCCTTCGGGAGAACTCTAGCCTAGAGCTGGCTTTGGGAATTTTTCGACGGGAAACTACGGGAGCTTTCGTCGTCGGACTTCCGTGCACACTTTCGTTTACGCGTTGGCCGTGCTCGTGAATTTTTACACGGAAATATCGAGCAAAGCCCGAGCTCGCGATAGAGAATTTCGAGGACGGGGTTTTATTCCTCGAAGAGGAAATACTCGAGGAAATCGATTCTCGGGAGGTTCTAGGCTGGAATATCCTCTTGAGCGTAATATCAGCGCCGCGATCTCTCGTCTGCTCGATTCTAACGTCTAATTTTTTCCCTCTGTTATCGCAGATTCGAAACCAGATCCCTCGTGGCTTCGCGTTCACACGCGCGGAAATTATTCTTTCGCGTAAATTCCGAGCTTATTACGGCCGGCAATCAGTCTCAATCAGCGCGCCGTATTAGAAGCGTATGCGTTTAATGTCGTGCATAAAGCGCCTCGATCGGAAGTCCAATTTTGTAATCCCGCCGTGCATACGAATGCGTGCCGCCGACGGATCGCCCTTCAATCCAATCGGACCGGAACGTTTTGAAAAGCACGTTTTCGCTCGACCGACGAGACCGATCCGTCCGTCTCTCCTCGTCGGAACTCGTTGTTTCCCTCGTTTCGCCGGCGCGGCGAACGACGGAACCGTTGTTCCAACACGGAGAAGATCGTTGCACCATGCCCCAGGACGTACTCCCGCGATCCGCGAACTCGTAGAAAGGGCCAGAGAAATGTCCTCGACCTTGTGACACGGACCAGCCAATCCCGAGCCATCGGCCGCCGACGGAGAGGGCGCGGGATTGGCTGAACGTTCGCCACGGTACCAACGACTTCCGACCGTTTCCGGTCCGGACGGAAAGCCGATCGACCCGAGGGCAGAGATCCGGCGAGTGCAGAAAGCAGGTAACGTCCTTCAATTTTCTCGTCTGTCTGTTCTGCTGCTCCTGGTTTCCGCAAAGCGCACTGTCTTCTCCCCAGCGCACCGTCGGCCAAGCAAGCAAACTCGTTCAAACTGTAAATCGTCCCGAGAAATGCTCGACGAGGAGCCCGAGCCCGTGTCGTTTCGGTCCAAACGGCTTCGCCGTTCGCGGAGCGGTTTGGTCTTCGAGCGCGGGTTCGGTTCCGGCTGTCGACATTGTTCGACGATCGAACCTGCTCGCCGTTGATTGTGTCGAGCAGGGGATCGATTTCCTAATCGATAACGGCATCGGAGGCACGCGCGTCCGGTGCGTCCGTCGACAGGGATCGTTCGGCCCTGCGACACACAATCGATTCTGGAAGGCGCCCGGCGCTCGAACCACGGTGTCGGTGTTCCGTTTTCTAACCATTGGCTGCGATACATTACATGGGACCAGCCAATCTTAGCGGATGCTCGACGCCACGCACAATGCTTCACAAGCTTCTGCGCACTCCGGCGAACCCTCAGACAATTACTCACAGGATTCAGGGCGAGTACTTGTGCCTAGGGTAAACGACTCCCTAATGCACGAATTTCCAGCAAAATCCCCACCACGATAAATGTCCCGAGCGAAACGCCTGCGTGTGTCTGTTGAATAGCTGATCCGTCGCTCGTAGTGTCCGCGCCATTTCCGTTTTCCGGCCGTCGGCGAGACGACGCTCCCTGATTTTGTTTTGATTCGATCGACCCCCTTCTTGGCTAGGGGGCGGAGACGGCCAGCGAAAACCATCCGTCTGGAAGTTCCAGGACCGATAACAATTCTACGGCCGAGCCGTGTAACCCCATTTCATTCCGCGGGCCGCGGAAACTTCCGAAAGACAATCAATGGCTTCGTCTGGCACTTTGCAAAGTAAACGTTGCCGGATGAAATTAATGATCTTCCTTCAATCTCGTTTGATTACAGGGGCCTCACCCGTGGTTCCTCTGCCCCGGCGCGCCCGCACACACCCCCCCGACGACCGTTCCCGAGCACCGCGACGCGCGCTCGCCGTCCATCGACTTTTTCCGTTCCCTCCTTAACCTTCCCGCCGATATTTTCCACGGGAACGATCGCGATAGGGGATACGAACTAATTCGGTCCGAGGCTCGCAGCCGCGCTTCGTTTGCCCGCGAACGCGAACAAGATCGACCGATCCCCGAGGAGGTGGTGTTGCAGCAGGTCTTTCACCTGGAGCATCGCGAGGCGTCGCCCAAAAGCGGCGAGACGCGTTTTCTAGGCCGTGTGAATTTCTGCCGACTCGCGGACGGGCTCTCTTTTATCGCTTCGCGGAGCCGAGTAGCCATAGGAGCGAGGATTCGGTGAAGACGAGACGTTGAGAAGGGAGAGAGAGAGGGAGAGAGGAAGTCGTTTCTGGCCCGGTGGGATAGACGCGTGGTTGAACGAGCGCGGCTTCGACGCGTACGTGTCGCAATCCGGTCCCGAATCGGGAATCGAGATTCCCGATCGTCTGGTTCCCGGTGTACACGGTGCAATGTCAGCGTCGTGCAAAGGCTTACGGTTTCGGTTGCGCGCGACGTGAAAATTATTCGGCCTTGCCGGAGACTGTACCGAGGTGGAGGTACGCCGTTCTGAGAAAATAAACTCTCCCGCGCTTCTTGGTCGCCCGTGGAGCAGGCTAGAGCCACTTACTTCCTCCACGAATTCTCTTCCTCGAAGATCGAGTTGATTCGCGTAGCCGGCAGCAGACGCGCGCGCTTCCCCCGGTGGAGGACCGTAAGGGGACGACACGAGAGAGGAGCCTATCGCCTGCGCGATTCGCGTTTGCCGAAGGGAAAAAGAAAAGAGAAACGGGCGAAAAAAGAGAATGGGGAAAACGCAGAGACGGCGGGAAAAGGTGAAAAAAGAAGGAGACGGGAGGTGAACGGGATATCGAATTTTTTTGCGGCCCCTCCTGCTCCCGCTTCGCGCCTATATTGATTTTTAGAAATTCCTTCTAGCGAGACGGCCGAACGAACAGAGACCGGCGAAGGAAAGGGTGCAGAAACGAGGCGGCCGGAAAAGGAACGCCCGCCTCGAATCGCATCGTCTCGCCTCGCCTCGCCTCGACTCGCGTCCTCCTAGGCCGGTTTAACGCCGTTCCACAAAACCTCCTTCGTCCGGGAACGTAATTAACTTCGAAGAGTCATTGAGCCAGGGGATCGCGTCGCCTCCTCTCGCGGAGTCTTCGCAATATAATGTCTCCGCACCGAAAAAGAGACCGCCCAGTCGAACGGAACGGTTCCCTCCGCGCGACTCCCGTTCGATTTCCTCCGCGACTTTCTCGCGACGCTATCAATTAGATATCCGTGTATCCATCACCGTTTTCTATAAACGCGTCCCCAAACGTTTTCACCTTGTTCCGCGCGGAGAACGTTGGCGCGTCCGATCTGCACTGTACCGAATCCCCTTCCACGCGCAGCAAAAGCGGTGTGCACGCTCTACCCGCTTTACAGTAACGCGAATCTAGTGGCTCTATTATCGTATAACGTTGGATATACGAGCGCAGATTTAAATGGTAATGTTCTATCGACGGGAACGCAATGCGAAGATATGGGAGCGACGACGAATTTTATTTGACAAAAGCTGTATAAAAAGAAAGAGGAAGAAGTAATTAGGGTAATCGTGAGAGGGCGCCGTGAACGAAGGCGCTCCGATGCGCCGCGAAGAATCGGCCTGCAACATTTGTTTCTAACGGCAGCGGGAAAATTCCCACCCACGTTAGACATAATGCGAGACGGCCCTGTTCATAGTCGAAAGCAATCGAAGGTAGTCGAAGTCGTCCGAGGACAGTGGAAATAGTGGGACGTTTCCCCTCGTTCGCTTCTGTCCGCCCCTCTGCGCCCCACCATCGTCCGTGCACCCCTTCTCCCGTCCGTGGTCCCTCTCTCGCTCGCTCGTCGCGTTCTCTCTCCGTTTCTCTCCTATTCCCGTTGACGGCTCTCTCGGTCGCTTCCTCCACCCTCTCTGTCTGGCGACCGGCCGCCTGTCTCCCTCCCTCCACGTTCCCGTCTTTGTCGGTCTCTGTCCATCTTTCTTGCTCGTTCGGCTCGTTCTTAACGTCAAACCACTTAGGGCCGCGGACCTCGGCAGTCAGTCGATCTTTCCTAGCAGCAGCATTCCGGCATTTTCCACCTGATCGCGCGCGGTCGGTCCGGCAAACGCCATTTTGTTCGGTCGCACGTCTCTCTTCGTTTATTCCCGTGGGAAAACCGAGATCCGTCGTGCGTTGAAAAACTGTTCGTATGTGCCGCGCGCCCTTCCACGCCCCGTGGAACACCTGCGTTTACCGAAAACACAACAAACGAAGGCGACGCACTTTATAACACACAGAGACACACCGACACACCGTCCCACACGCATACGCGCGCGCGCGCGTTGTTGTTGTCGTCGCCGTCGTAGCCGTAGCCGACGTCGTCGTCGCCGCCGTCGTCGTCATCGTGTTACTCCTGGTTGTTGTCCGTCGGCCGTCGGCTGTCTGCTCGCGCCGTCGTCCTCGTCGTCGTCGTCGTTGCCGTCGCCGTTGTCGTCGTCGTCGTCGTCGTCGTGTGGTGCCGGTGGTTTCCGCGTCGAAAACACACTCTCCGTTTCGCAACGGGCCGAGCACGGGTCTTTCGAGTACGCGGATTAAGGACGCCGAGTCGTGTTGTTTTTGTCCATCGACGAAACCCGCACGGAACACGGAGTGCGTGACCCCCGCGCGTGGTGCTTCTCTCGTGTCTGCACACACGTTTTTCTTCCCTCCGGCTCGACAGCGTTCAGGAAGAACCTGGCTGATAACGCACGATAGAACGTGAGTACACACTCGATATACTTTCTATGTTCCCCGGTTATCTCGGCTGTCTTTCCGTCTGTGTCGCACGCCTCGAACGTTAGATCTTGTTTTTTTTCTGCCTGCATGGCATCGTCTGCCATGTTAGACCGGCGTCTCTTTCTCTTTCTCCCTTCCTCTCCCTCTCCTTCTCTCTCACGGTCCCCTTCTCGTCGTCCTCTACCACCCTCCCTCCATCCTCGACGTCGTCTCGCTCTTCCCCCTCGTTCCCTCTCTATCGTCTTCCCCCCTCTGCATCTGCCCGCCTGTCCTCCGCCCTATTCGCGCTTGTAAACGCGCTCTCCAACGGCCCCCCTCCCCACTCCCGCGCGACGGCAGGAGCGTCGACACGAATTTTCCGATCGCGAATTTTAAACGATGAAACGCAACGATGACGATGACAGCGCCCGGTGAGAAACGACGGGCACGCCGCCTCTGTCAAGCGACCTCTATCCTCTCTCTCTCTTTTTTACTCTCTCTCTCTCCCTCCCCCTCATTGACGCCGGTGCTGCCGTTGCCCGCGTGTTTGCGAGATCCACTTCGTACTCTTTGCGCTCTTCTCGGCCTAATAATTCGTTGCGTGTATCCCTGCGCTGCCAACTGAACGTGATATGCGCAGAATGTGTGTCTGTGTCTGTGTGTGCGTGAGAAAGAGAGAGAGAGAGAGGAAAGCTTTGTCACGGCGAAAAGGATGGGAGGAGCGAAGGGAGGCGGGACAGGGGTGAGCGCGAGTCCCTGTGGTTCTACGCGAATGCACGCGCTCACGATTTCTTCCTTCAAACGTTTTTTCGCCTTTTTTCGTAGCGATAAGTTTTCGAAGAAGGCGCGCCGTGGCATGCGCGCGCACTCGAACATAACCTTAAAAGCTGGCAATTACGGGCATCCTTGCGCCGGTTTTGCGAGCACGCCGGAACGTGTAGCCATGGCTCCCGATGCTCGTCGCGTTCGCCGACCGGCTGCAAAGCACGTGTACACCGGAAACACCGTCAAAGCGCAAACGGAATCGAATTTAATGGAATTTCGTTTGTTCCTCCCGGACGTTTCCCAACGCGCCGCGCGGACTGTCCGGGCTGTGGGTGGGGGAGGGGGGAGGGGTCGGGGAGGCAGGGTAAGCGTTCACGTTACTTTTTTCGACTCGTAACGGTTACGTGGGAAACACGTGCCTGCACACAAGCCTCTCTTCCGTTTCGAATATTCGAATAGCCCCATCGGACGCGCGACGACGAACGGTTGCGAAACGGTTTTCCTCCGTTCTTTTTTTCATCGGTCGGATCGAAACGATTTCGAGGTGACTCATCGTTACGGAACAGATTAACCGGGGAGCTTTCCATGAATTACCGCCGCGCTGCAGCGCAGTTAACCAGCAAACGATAGTTAGCACTCGAGACGCTTATCGGGGAGCGCGCGAGCGCGCGCGGAAATTTTTCGTTTCTAAGAAAACGCGTCTAACCAGTCGTTTTTGCGGGCCGCGACGACTCCGCGCGGCGAATTGCGCGGCAAACAGTTTTCACACGGCCGATCCGATATCACGAGCGAGCCGCGTGTTTTTCATTTCGCCTCTCTCCTCTCCTCTCTCCCTGCATTCCCCCCTCCGCTTCCTCCTACCTCTCGTCGTCCGCCTCTTTTATTTTTGTTTTCGCCTCCTTTTCTCCGTTTTGATATATTGTCATTGGCCTCGCGCGGGTTCTTGTAAAACGGCGCGCGGACGTGTTGGTACGTAAGCTCGGCGTTTCTTTTTTTTTTTTTCTTCCACGGGGACTTATCTGCGAATAATCGTCGCGCACGATCGGCCGAAGACAAATTTTTATCTCCGGGAAAAACGGAGCTCGCCTCGTCGGCTCTTTGTCGCCGCGGTTTATTGCCCGTTGGGAAACGCAGCTTCGTTCCGCGGCTTCGCGTTTTTTCGACGTCGCGCGGCCGTTTCGTGGGACACCTCGTTATCGTCGATCGTTATCCGACAATGCGTCACGGGCCGATGAATTCTTTGAAACTCGTCGAAAAAGAGGACCCGACGGCGGCGGTCGTTGCTGGCCTGACGTCATCGCGGACCACCTGTCTCCTCCCCGCAATTTTCTCGAACACGTGGAGCCCGCGACGACGGTGCGGCACACCGCCGTCGTCTAATTTATGCGCGACGTCGGCTGACGGGTTTTTCCAAAAATAAAATACGGCGAAGCCGATCGGCCGTGCCGGAGCGGTGCGTTGGAAAATTACCGATTGACATCACGCGCCGATCGACGTCGCCGCTTTTTCAGAACGCGTTTTCGAGGCGGCGCGCGCGCGAGAAACGATGGCGCGCCGCCATTTTCGCGATCTCACGAGCGCGCGCGCGCTATCGTGGCTCGCTTTTCCCGGCAAAGGGAGAACAAATAGGACGAAACTGACGTTCTCGAGAAATTTTCCGCGTCGGGAACCATCGTCTAACGGCGCGCCACGGGATATCTCGGAGTAGCTTTCGACTCCGTCGACGAGCTTTTATCAGCCGCGAGTTTGGTAAACTCGTGTTCGGCCTCGTTAGAGACACACCCGTCCGAGATTAGCCGGTTCGCGGCTACTCGTCCTCGAAACGCGCCCGTTCTCTCTCTCGTCGTTTGTCTATTACATTCGGTTCTAGAAATTTACGAGCCAGTTACTTACTATCCGCCCCCCTCTCTCTCTCTCTCTCTCGACGCCGTTTCGTTTCGTTTCGGCATCAAACGACGACGGCGCGCTTCGAAAAACCGTCGAGAATATTGTTGCTTCCGGCGAGCGACACGCGGCGCAAAACGTGCCTGCAGGAAAAATGAAACCGCCGCCGTGACGCGGACGGCGATAATGACTGCAACAACAACAATAATAATAATATGTAATGACAACGATCGAAGGATAGAGAAGGCCCGGCGCGCGCGATCCACGAGGAAAAACCCGCCCGACGGAGGGGAATATAAAAGTGGAGCGCGGCAATTATCTGGGTCAATGTGAAAATAATGATAATCGAGACGGCGACGCGCGTTCATCGAAATATTTATTAATAGAGATATCACGCGAAGATCGGCAGATCGAGGCTCGATAAGAAGGAAAAGCGATATATGTCGGGCATTCGCGCAGCCATGCGGTTCCGGAGCCGCTGCCGGCGCGGCGCGGCGCGGAGCGGAGTATTACGGCTTGGCCGTCACGGTGCGAACGACCTCTGTTCGCGGCGTACCACGCGTGCAGAGCAAATACGGTGTAACGACACCGATCCCGTCAGCAACTTCATCGTCGCTTGGATCGCCGACTACGTAGCGATGACACCTGTCAATTGGCTGTTATTCCAACTTATACACGCCCCCTTAATCGACGCCGCCTCGATCGCAAAAAGGACGGCGCAACCTTCAATTAAGACCGCACGAAAATTCTTCGCTAATCGCTCGCCTCTTCGCAAAAAGATTCGCTTTGTTCGCGGGGCCGCCTTCTCTCGGCTGCGAGACCTTCGTTGTCTTCTTTCTTTCCCTAGGACAATTTTTCGCCTAATTTCCGAGCCCATTGTTAATCTTTAACCACTCTGCTGGAGGACCTTAGGGGTAGGCCTTCCTTTTATTCCGCTACCCTTCCTTTTATTCCAGCAACTACCATTCTACTTCACTGGAAACTCGCTTATCGCATTAAGATAAAAATTCTTTGCTAGTCTACAAATTTTTTGCTTTTTCTAGAAGTCGTGAATTTTTTCGGTTAGGAGACCTTAGGGGTAGGTCCTTCTTTTACTTCGCTAGGGAACAATTACATTTTTGCATCGCTAGAAACTACCCTCTTAATTTGTTACGACAATTTTTCGCTAATCTCCAAGGTTTGTTTTTTGATAAAAACAGCTTTGCTTTCTCTAGAAGAAATTGTCTCTGCTAGAAGACGTTAGGGGCGCGCTCCCCTTTCCCCCCACTAGATCGCAACTACCCTTTTTCTTCGACAAGGA